CCTTTTTTGCATTTGGGGTAGCCCAGTTAAATTCCAGGGAGGGTGGGGTTGTTGTAAAGCTTGATGTATTCTTGCACTCTTATGCAGTTTGTTTGTGCTGTTTGCATGCAACCAATGACCCACTCTGTTGATAATGTTCCTAGTCAGCAAGCAGTTGAACTGGTGGTTGTAGGACTTGGTTTTGTTGAGCAGTGTTGGCTTAGATTGTTTTTGGGAGACCTAAGCTTCAATTAAAAATGGGGTGAACTGGGGAAATGGCTTTGCAATCGGTGACACCGACACTAAAAATTGCCCTTTAAAATGCCTTATTTTCCAGATTAATGAGGAAACTTCCCTTTTGTTACCTTCAAGACAGACGATTCTATCAAATGGAAGCTCGTGTATTCTATAATTTATTTTTGAGGTGAGATTTTACTTTTCAAGTAACTATTAAAGGGCCATTAAATTACCAATCAGTGCGAGAGACGACATTTTTTAGTAGCCCGGTTTTCAAAAAACCAGGTATAAATATATTCAATAGAAAAACACCTTTAGCATAAGCAAAAGGGTCCGGGAAAGGTCTCGGATCCGCACAATTAATCCCGTCATTAAGCAACTTCCCTTATTGGGACTATTTGGGACTTTTTATATGCTATTATAGAATTGGTGTCCCAGTCTAAAACAGCTAAAATATCTTTTGTTGCAAGTAGTCGCAGCCACTCGCAGGTGAACTTTTTTATTCCACAAAATGACTGGACTAAATGGTGTCATGACGACTCCGAAAGCCGTTCATTTTTCGCGTTATTTTTTGTTGTTGCTTATTTATTACTGCCTTTGCTCATAAATAACAAATTATTTTATTAAAAATTGACATTGATTCCGTGGCGGTTTGGTTTGCTGTCGCGAAATGCGAATTCTAACTTTTTTCTCACCTTAATACGTGTATGTCGGGTTTTTCGACTTATTTCCAAGTCACACGTTCTCCTCGCATAGTGGTTGCCAGTAGTCCGTGACAATTGCCAAATTGGAAAGCAAATATTTGTTCATGGTTTTTGTGGCTTTCATTGTTTCCTTTTTGCGCCTTTACTGAAGCCCTACCCTAAAAGGGGTAATTTTTATAGGTTGAAGAATATGAAATGGTAAGGAAATCTTTCATTTAGGTGTATTGAATGGGGTCAAAATTTTCCGAACGGGTACACCATATGATAATGCTTCACGTTTTCTCGTATTATCGTTCATTAGGTTATAGACTCCTATGATCACTGACTTCACCTAAAGGTATCTTAAGTAGTTTTGTAAATGTTATAGCGAAGCTCTCGCGCGTGAGGTGCGCACAGCGNTTCGCGTTATTTTTTGTTGTTGCTTATTTATTACTGCCTTTGCTCATAAATAACAAATTATTTTATTAAAAATTGACATTGATTCCGTGGCGGTTTGGTTTGCTGTCGCGAAATGCGAATTCTAACTTTTTCTCACCTTAATACGTGTATGTCGGGTTTTTCGACTTATTTCCAAGTCACACGTTCTCCTCGCATAGTGGTTACCACTAGTCCGTGACAATTGCCAAATTGGAAAGCAAATATTTGTTCATGATTTTTTGTGGCTTTCATTGTTTCCTTTTTGCGCCTTTACTGAGGCCTCACCCTAAAAGGTGTAATTTTTACAGGTTGAAGAATATGAAATGGTAAGGAAATCTTTCATTTAGGTGTATTTAATGGGGTCAAAATTTTCCGATCAGGTACACCATATGATAATGCTTCACATTTTCTCGTATTATCGTTCATTAGGTCATAGACTCCTATGATCACTGACTTCACCTAAAGGAATCTTAAGTACTTTTGTAAATATTATAGCCCTTTACAAGCAATTTATTTGTAAACGTCAAGCTACACAGTGCATAAGGAAATGTATCGAAGCTTACTAATTTTTTTCGCCAAAAATGCGGCGCTTATTTGAAGGCGGCGCTTAAAACCATAGTAATACCTCTTAGTGCCGTATTTACGCGATTAAGCACCGCAGCGCTTATTAAATTCCCCCCAAATGCGGCGCTTATTTGAGTAATTACTGTAATTTGCAACTTAAGAGGACAAAATTTAGGGCAAATTGTTATTACATTTAGGACAAATTGTTATTACATTTAGGGTCGTTTATTACATTTAGGCCTTCTACATACGTTACACATGTCGCAGAGTCCCAGTCAATTTGATGTTTTGTCTTTAAATGGTGCTCAGCAATGTGATTGTTGACGTCACCATTCATCTTCGTGCGTTTGTGTTCGGTAAGTCGCGTGCTTAGGTTTCTGCCGGTTTCACCAATGTAAAAAGCCTGGCAGTTGCAGCATTTGATCTTGTATACTGCTCCCTGTCTGTCCTCCGGTTTGTCTTTGTCCTTGACATTAGTAAGCAGTCGCCGTAAAGTGGTTATCGGTTTGTGTGCAACACATATATTGTAAGGTTGTAATATACGTGCAATAGTTTCAGAGGTGCCTCTGATGTACGGTATAGCCGCTGTCGTAACAGGGCCTCTCAACCAGACTCACAACCTTAGTCACAATGACACTCACAAGGCAGATTGTTTCAGGCACAACATTAACAAGAATGATTTTTGCAACAATTCTATTAGTCAGAGCAGAACGTCCGACAGTCCACTCAGCGAAACTAGTAATTGTTGCGCTCGTCTCGTCAGAGTCCGGATAGAAGTAGCCTTGTGAGAGGTCGGGTTGTACGAAGACTGGTCTAGTAATCAGTCGGTATATGTCGGTTTCCTGTAAATAGTCGTTTTTAGTTTGTTGTTGTCGGGAGTGACCAAGCAGTCTAGAAAAGGTATCTTACCATTTTCTTCGATCGCCTTAGTGAACTGTATGTCCGCGTTCTGTCTGTTAAGGTGTTCGTAAAAATCGCCGATTCCGTCTTTTTGTACTGCGGTGAATGTGTCGTCAACGTAACGTAACCAAAGAGGTACAGTTCGCGTGTAGGTAGCTACAATTGTAGGGCTTGCTCCTCGATGTTTTGCATGACAATTTCTGCTACAACAACAGAAACTGGAGAGCCCATAGCTGTACCGTGTAACTGTTTGTAGTGTTTGCCGTTGTACTGAAAGTACGTCGAATTCAAACAGAGGTTGAGTCTGCGACTCAGCGACAGAATTTCCATACTGATGACGTAAATCTACACTACGAGTAGTCCCCCATTTGTCCTCAGGGATAGTAGAGCGAGCACGTGTGAAAATCATCCCACGCGAGGAAGGCGAGACGTGGTGTCGCCTTTTCTCGCGTGGGGTGATTTTCACGCGCGCTCTACTAACACTGAGGAAAAATGGGGACTACTCGTAGTCTAGCGTTAATCAATGTTTAGATAATAAATCCGGTAGTCATGGGGTTCCAAATGCACATTTGTTCAATTTTATGTTTCTCCAGGTCGATTTTGGAAAAGTGTTATGTTCATCTGCGAATGAGCTCCAGTAAAACTCAAATGCTTCTTCTAGAGAAGACTATATTCCACACAGATTGACTGTTTTGTTAAAGGTTCATCGCGTTTACATTTGACCTTTGCCGCCTTTTGTCTTTTGTCTGTCATTCGTAAACAATAGCTAGGACAATGAAATTGCTCCGTCGACCAATTAGCGCTTCTGACCGGATTCTGGACAGATTTTGCGTCATCAGTATGGAATTTCTGTCGCTCAGTCGCGGACGTTTCTCCTCGCGAAACGTCCCTCAGCGGCGATGAGCGAAGAGAACCGTCTGCCGTTTGCAGGCTAAGGCTGCGTGCAAACGGACGCAACAACTCCGAACATTGTTGCGCCAACAATGTTGGGAGTTGTTGCGTGCGTATTGGCAGTGGTATGCAAACGGATGCAACAACTCCCAACAATGTTGAGATCTGAAGTGTATCGTGGGAAGGACACAACCCATAAGTCTTTGTAAACCATGCGTACTGAGCGTGCTTGGCCCCAACAATGTTGGAAGAGCTGTGCAAACGATCCAACATTGTTGCGCTACGCTTCGGTGATCACGGAACAAAAGAAATGGTGGGAGTAGTTGGCCTGAAAGTTTGACCGGTTTCAAACTTTTCGCAACAACATCCAACAACATGCAACAGGGTGTGCAAACGGACGCAACATGTAACATCCAACAATGTTGGTAGTTGTTCGCCAACAATGTTGCGTCCGTTTGCACGAGGCTTAACACTGACGTGGATAACAAAGAAAGAGCTGAAGCGAGAGATAAAATACAAATGAGACGAGTTTTGTTAAAAGAAAAACCTGAAAATGTTATACTAGCGGAGAGGCTATCTAGCGGGCACCAAGGTAAAAATGAGCGGCAGTGAAAAAATAAGCAGACAGAAACACATGCGACATTTCCTCTATAAAACGAGTAACTGGGAAATTTCTGGAAGTTTTACGTGGAAAACAGCAAAAAATGTACAAAAACATGTGCTGTACGCGCAATCATGTTTCTTTTTCGCTTATTAGACCTTTTGTTTTTGTTTTTATGCTTTGCCGTTCTCGTTGCCTTCGCCATTTAGTATCACAAAATTTTAGTTTTTTTATATGAAGAAACTTTACGTATATTAACGAGAGCTTGCTTTTAGCCCTATGTATTAAAAATGGGTGCTGGACATTGCGAAGGTTTCCAGTACAAAACTCTGTTGATTACGTCTCTTCACGGGGTCTGTATGGTGACACGGTAACCGGGAATGTTACAGTATGACTCGGTTCCCAAATAGGCTACACTTCGAGTTGTTTATAGTCTCTTAATTCTCTTAACTCTCTAACAGATCAAGTTACCTCGTGTCTATTTTGCAGTTTTTTTTTCTTTTTCACATAGCTGGTAGCTTTTAAATTGAAACCTTTTCAAAGTTTCCAATTTTTGAAGTTTTATGTTAGTGAGAATCGTTTCCCCTTGAATTCCCAGTTACCAGTGATAGGTCATTGCAGGAGCCCATCATGGTTATGGGCTCCTGGTCATTGTTTATTCTTTAGATTGTTTCGTTCCAGTAGAGACAATAGAAGGCTGGCGGTCTCTTCTATAAGTTTTTTAATTTAGCTCGTATTTTTATTTATTCTAAAATGTGATAATAGTTACTCAATCCAGCTGGTCAACGCTGATTTAAACAGCGCAGATGTCTCTCGTAACTCAAGTTTTGAGAGATTCTCTAAGTTCTCTAAGTTAAACTAATTCCTATCGCAAATCTGTTCGATCTGAAGGAAGCGCTATCTGTTGAATCGTTAGCTTTTCGGTCAATCTGTTTATTGTTCACAAACTTGATTACTACCTAAATCTTCCTTTCTGTTAGTCCCCAACACCATGCAAAAAATCACAGTTAATTGACCCTTTTATTGTAAAGTCCTGTCAGTGTTCCGGTATTAATTTCTGAGAAGTGTTGATCGCCAGGTCCCGAACATGTCGAACTAGGTACCAACAAAGAAATTATTTACTCGTTCAAAATGTTTTTCACAACAACACCGGTTAATTTTTCACGTCAAGGTAACGCTCACCAAATTTTGATCAACGACGTCATTGATGAGAAAGGAAGCAAAAACTGCAAAAAATAGAGAGAAAACAAAAGTGACATTTTTTAGGTGTATCTTGTTTGCCTATTTTATTGTATTTTTTTATTTATTGTTTCACACTATTTAGATTAATATTTACTGCTAGCATCTCGCTTACTCAGCTTTAGACTTAGAAAGCTTTCACATCTCGATTCAGGGGCACCCAATGGGAAATTTTGAGAAAAAGACCTAAAACAACAACAAAACATGAACACAGCTTTGTGAAGCCGTTTTAAGCATTTTGGGAGATTGCTGGGAAAAATTTATCCGTTCCTCACTCCCACCAAGACTGATGGAAGAGTTCCCAGCCAGCAAGGTGCACCTACAACCTGCAACCTGACTTACAGACGTGTTCAGACATTACTGGCTAGTTTGGGTGTGGTCATATGGCAGAATTCAGCCAGTGGTGGGGGTGGGGGGGGGCTGGAAGGGGTGGATCTAAAGGACATTGGGTGTGGCCAAAGGACGAAAACCATCCCTTAAGTGGAAGAACAGATATCTTGAGGAACAGATCCATTGGGTGCCCCTGGAGGTTAAATTTTAAGTTTTGTTTGATTGAAATCATGTACTCTTCTGATAGATTGTACTGTAGTCCTTGAGTCTTTCAAATCCAGGGTCCATGATATAAAGTCACATATATGTATTTAAGCTTCCTTGTGCTAATAAGTCAAAGATGAATGGAATTAAGTGAAAAATTCATTATGAAATGGGTGATTAATTATAAATTGACTAGTACAAGGAACTTTTATAGGTTTATAAACTAAGGTAAGTACTCGCTTATAGTGAATTCAGTAGATTAAACGACCCCAGCTAGCACAATCTGCAATTGAATAGTTGTGACACAATATAATGAAATGCAAGTTTTTTGTTTTTGTTTTTGTTTTTCTCTCGAAACAGTATTTAAACCTGTCTACCACATCACAAGATCCTTCCAGGGGTAATTGCATGCCAGCAAAATACAGGAGCAACGAATGCATACGAGGTAGCGGTTGTCAGTCTACTACGGATTTTAGAGAGAGTCGAAAGACGTTCTCAAATTTTAACAGTTTTATCATCAGTTTGCAATAGGGAAAGGGCTTAAACTCCGTCAATAAAAATAACAGTGCTAACTTTTCTGGTGAGAAAATTACAATGAAGCTTTCACCATGGAACAGAAAAAGAAAGCGATCGAATTGTGGAAATCTTATATGTGAACTATTTTTTTGTGGACTTTGAGATATGATCACTTCCTTTATTTTCTTTTCTTTTAGACTTTTTAAGTCGTTAAGCATCCAAAACTTTCAAATAATCCTGCATTAAAATATGTTATCTCGAATTATCAAAACTCGTCTGTAAGACGTTTCCGAATCGACATTATATTCGGCGCTGCTCACAGTCTGCGTGCAATTGAATCGATGAAAGATTACTATAATCACCTCTCTCAGGATGATTACTAAAGGGATCTGAAGTAGTCTTGGGACAACAGGGGAATCTCTAAAATCACCTGGTTAATTTTACTGACAAGGGACGGACCATTACAAATTGAAGAAACGCGAGGGAAGTTTCTGCTGGTCTGTTAATGTTTTGCTTCGCAAATGTGCGCATTTTTCAGCGTTTTTTCCCTAGCTTGAATGTAACGAGTAAACTAAAGTCAGTTTAAAAAGGCAGTAAAGATGCCTTAATTAAATAAAGCTAATTTAAAACTCACCACAGTTGCCCCAATTTCCTTTATACACTGGATCCAAGGAGCACCAGGGTCTGTTGTGACCAACATTAGTGCAAGAATTGTAGGTCACTGCCTTATATTTAAATGGAATACTGCAACACTTGCCTGATGTTGTCTGAGGGCAAACAGTTGGTGACGGTGTGGTGACTGGTAACGCTGTCAAAGAAAAGACAGTGCCCTTGATATAATGATACTCTAACTTTGAAATACACACTAAAAAAGATGCTTTAGCTGAGTCAATTTAAACTCACGGCAGTCGCCCCATCCCCCCTTATACACAGGATCCAAGGAGCACCAGGGTCCGTTATGATCAGCATTAGTGCAAGAACTGTAGGTCACTCCCCTGTATTTGAATGGAATACTGCAACATTTGCCCGATGTTGTCTTCTGAGCGCAAACAGTTGGTGACGTTGTGGTGACTGGTAACGCTATCAAAGAAAAGACAGAATGATCTTGGTATAATGATAATGTAACTTTGAAATATACACTAAATATGCTTTAGCTGAGTCAATTTAAACTCACGGCAGTCATATCCCGTTATACACAGGATCCAAGGAGCACCAGGGTCTGTGCCAATGAACAGAAGTGCAAGAGTTGTAGGTCACTGCATTGTATTTAAATGGAATACTGCAACATTGGCCTGAGGTAGTTTTCTTATGGCACGATGCAGTGACTGGTGACACCAAAAAGCGAAAATGTAAATCTTTGATGTGTTGATGATATCACATGAAAAGACAAAGTAGAGACGCCTTACTCTTTAAGTCAAATTAAAACTCACCACAGTCGCCCCACCTTCCGTTATACACAGGAGCCAGGGAGCACCAGGGTCTGTGCCAATCAGCAGAAGTGCAAGAGTTGTAGGTCACTGTATTGTATTTAAATGGAATACTGCAACATTGCAGGGGCACCCAACGGCAATTTTCGGGAAAATATCTGTTCGGAAGACGATTTGAGATTTAGAATTTTCGGAGCATTTGTTGTAAAATTTCTCGCCTGCCTGCCTCTCCTAGGATTTTCGAACATCTACAAAATGGTAAAATTACCCATTTTTAACGGACTTTGACCCTAAAAAAGGCCACCTAGAATTTTCGGGAGCCTTTTCCTGGCTGAAATTTTCGAGAAGGTAAGTTTTTATCCCTATAATTTGGCCTAGTGATCTGAAAGTCGATCCTTTAGGCTTGTCTACTTTTCAAAAATCCCCTATTTTTATGCGGATATAGATGGCAAACTTATGATTTTATGCAAGTTGTTACGATACAATTCACCAAAACTTGATATTCCTCGTTGGGTGCCCCTGACATTGGCCTGAGGTAGTTTTCTGATGGCACGATGCGGCTGGTGACACCAAGAAAGAAAAAGTACAAGACTCGATTTTTGATAATATAATTTTTTATCATTCAAATGCAAGCAAATCCACCTATGAACGACAGATCTCTTTTACTCTGAGATAAAAATATACACATAAACTCAGCGCCAAACAATACATAAAATCTTCTGAGAAGCAGGAAATCGCCGGCTTAAAATCGGCTAAAATCGAACCTTCGATCGTATCCGAATCGCGATAAACATATTGAAATTGCCTTATGAAGCCAATAGCAAGCATCTAAGGCCACTATGAGATCTTGAAAATTCTCCAAATCGCTCTCTTCATGTTCTCTTCCGTAATGTTTATCAGAAATCGAAGCACTGTTTTAATCCCAGGTTTTTGTTGATCTCTCTCACGAGATGCGTACTCGAGCATGTCGCGAATGATGAGGTACATTAACAGTTTTACCCATGACACTTTGTGGGTCGTGACGCACACCGCCTATTAAAAGACAGAGTAGAGACGCTTTACTCTTTAAGTCAAATTAAAACTCACCACAGATGCCAAATGGTCCTTTATACACAGGATCCAAGGAACACCAGGGTACGCTATAATCAGCAGAAGTGCAAGAATTGTAGCTCACTCCCTTGTAACTGAAAGGAATACTGAACATTGGCCTGAGGTAGTTTTCTGAGTGCACGATGCGGTGACTGGTGACACCCAAATGTAAGAAAATTTACAAGTCTTGACATTTGATGATAAAATCTTTAAAGACAGCGTAAAACGTAATATATATTTAGTTAATTTAAAACTCACCACAGTTGCCCCATCTTTCCTTTATACACAGGATCCAAGGAGAACCAGGGATTGTTATGATTAGCAGAAGTACACGAATTGTAGATCACTCACTTGTAAATCAATGGAATACTACAACATTGCCCGGAAGTCTTCTAGTGAGCAATATTTGAAATAATCGCCTGCTTCGAATAATCGTCTTCACCCTAATAATCACCTGCTTTTCGTGCGTAAAAATGATAATCTTCCCCGCGGGCTATTATTCGAGGAAATACGGTAAACCAGGACAAGTCAATACACAAAGAATTAAAGAGCTAAAGGTACATTTATTTGAAATGTTACATATTTTTTAATTTCTTTTCAGTAGAATATCGTCCACTATTACTCTAGCTCCGATCGATCCGATTTTGTCCATTTTGTTGACACTCACTACGTCCGGGCTGCGTGTGATCTAGGCAGGCTGTTGTCCAGAAGAAAGCGAAATAACATCCGGCTTAATCTGTATAATTCTTCACATATTCCCAACCCCATTATCAAGGATCATTATACGTTTCTGGGAAACTGCCCACCTATCCCTCCCCCAAGCCAACATTAACACTCACATCTCACTTAGGGCAAATCTTGGTTTAAGGGGAGGGGTAGGTGGGCAGATCCCCAGAAACGTATGTGACGTACTGAAAGAAGAAAATGCAAATTTTTGTCCGAGCAATAGATTCAGGCCAGGAGTGTTAGGGCTTTTAAAACCATTTTGAAATGTCTCTTTCTTTAATATTTATCTAAAGCTTTAATTGAAGTAACATTACCTTGATAGCGGTGTGCAAGATACAGTGAAAAGAGTGTGAAAAACCACCAGAAAAACATGACGTTTCTTTAGCCCAGTCACAACCGCAGGTAAAAGAAAGTAAAGATCAGTATACCACTCTTCTGGATCGTGAAAGCTACCTTTTCAAAAACGGTATTTCAAGAAGTTGTAAACAGAACAATCGAAATATGACATATTAGTAAAATCCAACTAGTGGTCTATTATCAATACTGCGTTCTGATTGGTTGAGCTACTACTAGGCTATATGTTATAGCCCACTAGTAGCGAAAAGCGTCGGCTTTTTGGCGGGTAAAAAAGATTAAAGTCTAGCTTTAAGTCGCCAATTATTTTTTTATTCTCGATATTTTTGACCAACTGGTTGGATTTTACTAAAACAATTATTCCTCTCGCCCTTATGGTCTCTGAGTCAATAGCCCATTCGGGTGGATATACTGATAATTTACTCGAGAAATAATTGTTAAATATGACATTTTGATCAGCTCTATAAAAGTATTTGCGATTTTACCCCACGATCCCGATCACCCCCCATCCCCACCCCTTTCCCCTTCCCCCTACCCTCTCTTACCCTCTCAACATCACACCCACATCTCACACTAACAACCACCTCCTCCACAATCACAACCAAACACAGACCAACACAACAACTACCAACCCACTAAGAGTGCCCCAACAGTACGAACCTT